AGAGTGATCAGGAATAGATAGGGACTGATTGCACTTTTAGGTGTCATGACGAAATACTGCTGTAGTCTTTTAAGTGGTAAAAATATTGATTGAACTATTCTATAATACATGGAAATTATTCACTCTGAATATTTTCGTAGACGCTGATGAATATTGGCCGAAAATCTAGCGTCTCAAAACTTACATGACTTAATAGTTGGTTAGCTTTGTCACAATTAGAAATGGAGCAAACTTTATATGAGTATAAAGCTAGACACCCTGTTCCGGGTTTTAGAACACGCTCTACTTCAGCGAAGAATTTTTCTTCATCCAAGCAATGTAGCGCTTGTGCACAAGTTACTAGGTCGACACTATTATCATCGCAAGGCAATTCATATGCTGAACCAGTTTGGAATTGTACATTATGGGTCTGGTTGATGATTTTAGCTTCTGTAATTTGAGCATGGCTGTAATCGAGTCCGATAACTTGTTTAAAATATTTACCAAGCGGTTGTGTACATAGTCCTGGTCCGCATGCAACATCGACAGCAAGGTTCCAAGAAGATTTTTTGGCATATTGATGAATATAGCTTAAAATTTCTTCATAAATTTGATTTGGATAAGTTGGCCTAAATTTAGAGTAGTTTTGCGAAACCCCTGGGATATTGAAGTAGGTTGAATAAGAAGTCATTTCTTAAGTCATCTAATGGCGAATTTCAAGAAAAATGATGTCGCTGGTAATGGCGTTATTTATCAATGACTAAAACGCCATTATGCTAACTTTTCCATTGAGAAGTGCGGAAATGCAAAGGAGATTAGTATAATAAGATGTGATTGGCTAATCATAAAATAGATTATGCTTCTTTTCAATTGCAATAATCTATTTAAGGTTAGGAAGAGATCGAAAATAATATTGCATTGAGTTATTGAAAGCATTATGCTTGATACCTTAGAGTCTCTGGTATACTTCATGAACTTAGTGAGCAACAAGTATAGTTAGGAAGGTAATAATGTTATCCATATGTTATTATCCCCAGATTAGCATAATTCCATCTTATTTCGATTAAGAAATGCCTTTGTGCAATATCAGTATCTCAGGCAAGTTAAAGTTATAGTATATACTGTATGTATTTGTTACAATTTGATCATTTATTCTAAGCATGTATATCGGTTACCTTGCTGTGGAGCTGATTAACAACTTATTTCTCTATCTAAAATACTAGAATAATCATGAATAATTCTATATTTTGAAATTCCTACTTTTTAAATAAAAAAATTTAAATAAAGTTTAAATGAAAGCGACAGTAACACAATGGTGTGATATATACCGATCACGAAATTCCAAATTTTAGAAAATAAGGGCTTTATTGAATCTTATACAAAGATTAACTACACACAGCTCTACTCTACCCGAATACTACTACTAAAGACTTCTAGAACTAACAGAATAATCTAAAGTTGCACGCTTTATATACTTTTCGTAGCATTCGCAGCTACAATCCGTATGGCAACCTTTTACCTTATTTTACACATAGTAAATTATTCTAAGTAACACAATTCTACTGTGGACCATCATTAATCCGATATGGATACGACTACAGTATTTACGTAGACATTATTCACACCAGCCAAAGTACAATGAATTAACCATATCCTAATATATGATTTACAGTTCTATTTTTACATATAACCTTATTAGTAACTCAACACCTTACTGTATGTAGTAGTCATCTGTACTCTAGCATAGAGTCTATACCACTACAGTCTATAGTTATAGCTACCAAATATCTCTTAAGATAAATATCTACCGTACATTATACTAAACATGGCTAACAGTTTACAATCACAATAGTAAGTTACATTACTAATGGATAATTTCTTAGTAAATGCAATAAAAATCTATTTCAAAAATTTTGAGAATGAGATCAAAATTTTTAGGACAGAATACTTGTATCCGCGTATACATATGACATACAATTTTGATTTCGGTAGAATTGCATAGGCATAAATTTATAGCTTTATCTTTGACTCTGCCCTTACGCACGAAATTGTGTTGCACATAATTAATAAGATTTTACTTAGCATTCTGGTATACTATAAACCCGACTGGTTTATTCTGGTTAAATTTAACCAAATTCGTAATATAATTGTGTTCAGAATTGTATAAAGTAAGATTGAAAATTAAGCGATATTCAGTATTCTGGCTGCAATTCTGATAAAGCTAGCAGCTAATTTTGATTATAAAATACAGTAAAAGTTATATTACTTAATGATAGAATATAGTTCAAACCCGAATTGTTTGATTTGGGTTCTAATTAAAAATTGTTGGTCTATCTTAGTAAATTTCTATATTGTTATCCGTTTTACTGTAAAAGGTACAATTTATAGCTAAACGATGATTTTACTTATAATTAATTTAGTACTTTTGAGAATCTAGGGTATAATATACCTTGTCATATGTAGAATTGCAAGTTTAATTTAGATTACTTTAGAGTGATTATTTGATAGTCTGTTACCACCAATTGCTCTGTGTAGCGGATAATAGGTGATGTAGTTCAGTAATTTATTGAGTTAAGGATAGTGAAGTAAGCAGATAAATATTAGAATTTGCATTA